CTGCTGCATAATTGTTCATATCTAATCGATCTAGAGGAAATTCGATGGCAACATTTAACTTGCCTCTAAATCTTTCTGTTTGAGAAAATCTTTTAAAATGAATGACTAAAATACGGGGAAACTTATGGATCGATAGAGACTTTGTGCATTTTCTTCTTTCTTTGCAACTTGAACACGTCGGTTTTTCATGTCCATCCAAAGTTTCCTCTCTTGTGAAGAAATCCAAGCACTGTGATAAATTCAATTGGTTAGTTTTTTTTGGTATGGGGAGTGACAAATCCCAGAAAGGATCGAAGGTTACAGATGAGTGTCCAAAATGTGTGCACTTCATCGTTGATTTTGATTGACCAATGAAATTATCTACAATCTTAGAGTTTTATGTACTCAAATAAATCAGCCATGACTTTTGTGATTTGATATTAAATTCATTTGGAAAATCATTCTCAGGAAGTTTATTCTACATAAACACAATTCTCCAAATGACTCTCGGATTTCAATTTACTCACCCCATCGGCCAAGTTATTATGGAGTCATGAATTTCTGCCAACTGGGCAGCTTTTATGACCTCTTCATCTGTAGCTTTAAGGTCGCCATAATGCAAGTTATGTTTAATTGTATCATGAAAGAGAACACTGTCCTGAGGAACAATAGAAATAGAACGACGAAGACTCTCAACATCTACATCACGGATGTCACTATTACCGATGATGATACGTCCTTCTGTTGGCTCATAGAACCTGTAGAGGAGCCTCACCAGAGTGGATTTGCTGTAAAAAAAGAAAATATAATTCAATTCAATTTATTCATTGGTTTTACAGATTACATTGGAAGTAATATAAAACACGTCCCAAATTACATATCGGTAGACATTTCACATTTGAAACTGAAAATTTTAAAAATAAAGTAAGTAAATTAAAATATATATTATCGAATGAAAGTATCCAATTAGCTGGAATAAAATTCTTCAATATTATAAAACATTTTCGACAACAGAAACGTTTTCAGATGCTTTCTGAATTTGAAGTCAGTAGTTTGTTTTTTAATTGATTCCGGGAACTTATTGTGAATTCTTACACCATCGATCGGAGATAGGTCCCCTGAGAGTTACATTCAAATTATTTAGAGGTGTTTTTATATGGTAGTTAAATCTAGTTGAATAACTGTGATCATTACTATGAGTGCTAATGCTTTTTTATTTTTAAAAATGTAACAAGATATTTCTAGAATATACAAGCAAGAGAGAGGAAGTATTTTCAGATTGGCAAATAATGGTCTGCATGATTCTCTCTGACTTTTATTCAAAAAAGTTCTAAGGAATTTTTTCTGCAGTACAAATAATTTCTGAGCTGCTGATGATGAACCCCATAATAAAATTCCATATGTGAGTCGTGACTGAATTTCAACATAATAGATTTTTTTTTAGTACGGACAAGTTGAGAACTCTTTGTACGCATCTCAATTGGTATATTTTGCTGTTTAGTTTGGACTTTGTTTCTCTGATATGGAATTCCCAATCTAATGTATCATTCATAATTATGCCTAAAAATTTTATGTTTTCTATCATTTTAGTTTGACTTCTCCCATTTTAATTTCTATGTTTTCAATNGAAGAACAATACAACAACACTCTTCGTCCCTTTTCATCGCTCCAACACACCACAGAGGGCGCAATCATAATGAAGTCGTTTTGAGGGTACAGGGTGAGGCAAAATTAAGAAAATAAAAATGAATATGTTAGCCGTTCCGCAACAGTTTCTTATATATTATTTAAATTCTTTGGCTACAGTAAATTTATTTGGTAAACTACATATGCCTACTGATGACATCACTTTGATTTACAGTGGAAATAGTTTACTAGAAATTGAAATATTTCAAAAGGCATTGATCAAATATTTTTATGGCGTCAATGTCATAAAACGATGCTGAATATTCAGAAACCTTCATATACGTTTATATCAATTGATTCGAAATATCCAATTAAATTTCATAATGAAAATAATGAATACTCTCCAAGTGTTAAATTTCTTGCTCTTACTCTAGATGAAAATGTATCATGGAAACACCATATTGAAACAATAAGAAGAAAAATGGCTTCCATAATTGGAAATTTTATTCAAAGTAAAAAATGTACCACCAAAAAGCCTTGAATTAATTTACCTTTCATTAACGTTACCAAGAGACAGATATAAAGACAGTAATTGCAGTACGTAAAGTAAAGATTGTGTATAAAATAGCATCTAAGTGGTATTTTAATATTTTGATAAATTCAAAGTTATTTTCGAAGATAATTTTTTTTTATTCTATAGCTGATTCTGAAACTTTAATATTAGAGAAATTAGGTATGTTTGCTGACGTTATAGAGAAAGCAAGATGTGGGTTTTACTAGCCTTTAATGAAAAACGATACATACTCAACCATTTATGAATTTATTTCTTTAATATTCCAAAATACAATATCTAATATCGGAGAATGGCAACAAATTCAATATTGAAACCAATTAATAAACTTCAGAACAAAATTTAAAGATGTATATTCAAGTTAAAGTACAAGAAGCCAACAGTTAACTTGTATAAACCAAAAAAAGTATTAGATTTGTCATGCTTACATAAAATCATATTATGTACCCTCCTTCAGTCATTTGCTCAAAAATAAGCTCAAACATTCAAATCTGACTTTCAAAATCAATTGTGACCAACACAACAAGATATTCAGGCAATCTAAAATTAATGAAATTTTTGAATTATTTTTTCTCCCTGCTATAAACATTGTATGTTTCTTGGGAAAAAATAAATCATTACTAAAATGTATGTACTATTATTTCTAATACACATTTGCATAATTAAGACCTACAAATTGACAAACATCAAAGACAGTAGGTACTAAATGTTTTCAGATTTGATGGAAGTAAGGAATTATTTTTATTGAATTTAATTTTTATTCAATTTGTGAATTGATCATGACTTGCAAATACTTTCATTTGTCGAGTTTATAGTAACATGATTTAAAAAAAATACTTACCCTGATCCCGACCCACCAACAATGGCTACTTTCTTACCAGGTTGAATGGTCATATTCAAATTCTTGAAAATTTCCTTTCCTGGTCCATATTCGAAAGAAATGTTTTCGAATTTGATGGCTGTATTTTTAGTATCTACATGAAGGTAAGGAGCACCTGGTTTATTCTGAAAATATTTCCTTCATCACAGTTGACAAAGAAATTTAAAGTAACAAATCACCTTGATGGCACTATCCATGGTCATGAGAGTGAACATAGTTTGCATATCAATTAAAGCCTGTCTAACTTCTCGGTACACACTACCCAAAAATCCCAAAGGAACGGATAGCTGGAACAATAAACCATTCACCATTACTAGATCTCCAACAGTCAAATTTCCTGAAAACAATACATTCATCAGAGTATCTCATGAAGATTTTGAAGATGAATAAACCTTGGTAAAAATAAATATAAATGAAGTTAATGAGGTTGAACTTATAACGATCTGTTAGACTCTTACAACCTAGTGTAAAAACATGTTGTTGTGTTTTTTTATGAAGAAATGAAGTTCGTCGTAGAACCCTATTATACAGCTGAAAATTGTGGAGCAGGAATTTTAAACATATAAACATATGGCCAACACCTAATCAAGCGGGTAGTGCTTCTAAGGTCATTGTTATAGCCTTCTTAAAATACCCTGCCTTGAGTATCAAGCCAAGAGACAGATTCAATATTGTCAACTTTTTTTATTTATCTGACAAAAAAAAACATGATACAATTTTTATTTTTTATTAAGAAAATGAGAAATTTAGAAAGAATAATTCAACTTGAACTTTGTTCCATAAATGATGAAATTG